TGTAAGAATTTAACTCCTTTAAGAAAAGGGGTCAGGCAAGTCGCATTGTGTATAAAGTCTGTCAGCATGAACCATCAGACTTGCTTGTAAATAGAACCTGACGCACATGCATTGTTTGTCTTCCACATCGTTTATCTGTTCTAGAAGGGGAATCCCAGGTACACACGTTTTATGGTAAGGTTAGTTTAAAAGGGTGTCTTTTAGAATTTATTATTATTAATACTATTATTATTTTAATAATGATCAGTTTTGATGTCAATAATTAAAGGAACACTCCAAACCTCTAGAGCACTTAAGCTTGCTATATTTGATTTGGCCATTGACCAATTTTCTCTGGAATGTGAGACTGTCACTACTGACAGTCTCCCTGGGTCACAGTGGAGTAACAACAAAGAGAACTCACCAGTGGGGAAAAAAGTGTTATCATTATTTAATTTATTTTTTTATTAGGCAGTGTTCTGCCTGGCACTGATGTGGTTAAAGGAGCACTTCATTAAATCCAATATTGGTTTTAACATTGGAATGTTCCTTAAAGTTTCTGGATAATGTCTGGATAATGTAAAAACCTGATAGTTTTGCCACAACTCTACTTAATTATAAACCAGAGGCGCCTCACTAATTTGTTTTGACAGCTCACTGCAGAAGCTGCACAGCCTGGGATTTTTTGTTTTTTTATTTTTTTTATTTTTGGGGGGCGATATGTTTAGTTCCATTCTTTACCTGTCTCATGCCTGCTGCAACCTAGATTGTCCTTTATAGCTGATGGGTACTCCATAAAGGAACTGCCCTGAAGTATGTAGAATTCTGCAGCTAAAATGTTGCAGTAGGTAAATACAGTAATCATGATTGTCCTTTGGCATCTCTTTTTAATGAATTTAATAAATAGATTTGCTTCTACACATTCTATATATTGCAGCATAGCACTTTTCATTCCCTACCCTAGAATATGTTAAAGTGATATGTGTTCAGGGAAAGATTGTGGGTTTAGCAGTCCTATATGTAACACGGTTTCCTTAAACCATTTTTTAAAAAATTTTTTTGCATTAATAATAATATTTTTAATAATATATATTTTTTTCAACTTTTCACTTTACCAATATCCCTACTATCAAACATTTCTTGCATTCATTTCTCAAATGAAGACGGTATTGAGCAGAGAGCAACACAGAAACTGGAAATTCAAAGATTATTTTTATCTTCCTGATTTTATACACCTGAAATTAACTCTTTAACTATTCAAGTACCTCAACAGCATAATGCAGTGCAGGTATGTATTAAAGGGCCTCCCGGGAGCCTTTTATAACCAATTCCCTGCTGCGCCTGATAGTGTAAATTTGCAGGGAATCCCCTTAATTAATAGCAGGAGAGCTATAATTTGCTCAGCAAGTGAGTTAAGCAGCAGCAGATCTTGATGTGTATCTCCTTTTAATTACTCTTTTCTCATCAAGATCTCTGCTGCAGCAACAATAAGTGACGGCAAGCTGCCTAAGTGGAGCTGGTTAATCAGGGCTCATAAGGTCTGTCAGAGGCATAGAATGAGCAGAACGTTGGGAATTATTGATAAAGAGCATTTACAGGGGATAAACGTGAAGAAAGCACCACCAATAGAATGTTGGAATGTTCCTGCCAATGGCTCCATATTTTGAACTTCGCACCATAGCACCCGGCCCTGAAGAACTGCCTGTACATCACACTCAGCTAACCACACACATACACAATCCCACTCGAGGGCTGAAGGAGGGGCCCTTCCTTGGTTCTTGCACCTGGACTCTGAGGTTTCTAGTTCTGCCCTGTTAAACAGTAAAAAAAAAAAATTGAATATAGATTACAATATGGGGGAAATAATATATACATCCATAATACTGAAGAGAAAAGATATATATATATATACACACGTTTTACATAAAATATAAAAACTAATATGATATACGTATATGTACAGTAGATAATAGAAATAGATTAAAATGCAATATAATAAAAACAACAACAAAAAAAAATATTCATGTTGGACATGCTGGTCCTAGATAGGTAAGTGAATATCTCTTACATTGAACACATCATGTAACTCTATGACGATGTATTCAATGTATTTGGGAAAATTATCATAAACATATAAACAGAGCTGCAAGCCTTTAAAAACACTAAAGCAATTTGTGTAAATAGAACTAAAAGTCTCCAAAAATTACCACAGAAGAAATTATTAGAAATAACGCAAACAGACTTTCAAAATGAACACTAATGTGTGTGAATACAGCTAAAAATCTTTTCAAATAAACATTAGAGAAATTTGTAAACAAAGTTAAAAGTTTAACACCATTCACAATGGAGCAGTTTGCGGAAGAGGCACACAGGCTTCTAAATGACAAAGAAAAATATGTGTTTCTTAAAAAGAACACTCTGGAAGCCATGACAACCTCCTTACTGCTATTACTGAATGAAGCAAGAGATGCAGGTCTCCTAACAGACATGGGATATAACTTTCTCCTCATTAAACACCCAAATATAGTCTTATTTTATTTTTTTTACCAAAGATTCAGATAAACGTGACCAAACCACCAGGTAGAGCCAACATTTTGGGTATAGACTCTCTAATATCTAACCTATGTAAATATATAGAACAGATTCTTCAACCATATGTAACTAAGGTCAAATCATACCTGAAGTATACGACAAGAATTATTAGAGATTTAGCCTCTTTCAAAAAGGTCAGAGAATTACTTTGTACTGGTGGCAGATGTCACATCACTGTACACCATAATAGATCATGGACAAGGCTGTAATTCTGCTCATAATTCACTGAGGATACTGAAGAACATGATGACCTCCAGATACAGTTTTTATTGAGGGAGATCTTCATCCTCACCAATAAATATTTTTGGTTTGAGGACAGGCATTAGCTACAGAAGAAGGGCACAGCTATGGGGACAAAATTTGCTCCTAACTTTGTAAACTTGTTTATGCTACATAGGAAAACCACTATGAATGGAGCAAAAATATTCGCCCATACGGACACAATATCCATGATAACTTCTTTTTTTTTGGTGAATTTCTTTTATTCAGTATTTTCAAATTTATAAGAGACTGTCGGTGTGGACACGCAGGTCCAGCAGTGATTCGTTTCAATTACTTCTCAAATATGTAGTA